GCGAGCCCGGTGTGGGAGGGAAAGCGGTGAGGCGGAGGTGGGGTCGGTGGGGGCCGGGGAAGGGAGGAGGCCGCAGCCTCAGCCGAGCGCGGGCAGCTCGTCGGGAGTCGGCGTTTGGAGCCGCCAGTCCGACGGGGGTGGCGGGAGGGAGGCCCTGGAGCCCCAGTGCCCTCACGGTGCCCCGAGGAGGCTCCGCCCCCGGGGATGGGCTGGGTCCCTCCCGAGGACGCCTGGCTCCCGAGGGCACCGTCGCATCCCCAGGCTCCGCTGCAGGGCCAGAGGGCGGGAGCGCCGGCTCGAAGGCTGCGTGGCCCCAGGACCCGGCTCCGCCCGCGTGGGGCGGTGGTCCAGGCCCGCCACTTCCCGGAGTCCCCCACCCGCCCCCGGCGCACAGCCGGGTCTCATTACCGCCCCTCCCCCTCCCGCCAGCCCCGCGCGCCGGGGGGTCCCCGGGCCGGGGGAGGGGCGGGCTATAATCTATCCCAGGCCGGAAATTCTTCCCGAGGGGCCCGGGCGCGGAACCTGGAAGTCGCCCGCACCGCCCCTCCGCCTCCGAGCCCGCCCCCCGCATCATGGAAACTGGGCGGCCAGCCGACCCCGGCCCGCCGGCTCCGCATTCCTGCTCCAGGGGCGGGCGGGGCGGGAGGGCCGCGCCCCCGTCAGGCCGGCCTGCGGGGCGCCGCGGCCCTCGGGACCCTCCCCTTATGCCGGGCGGCCGCGGCTCCCCCGCCGGCCTGGGCGCGCCGGTCTCGGGGCGGCCCGCCACGTCCACTCCGCGCGGGGACGCCCGGCCCGCGACTGCCGCCCACCGAGGGCGTGCGGGGTCGCGACTCTGCCCTCGGCGCCGGATGCGCCTCTCAGCATCTGGTGGGGCGGCGGCGCTGAGCCCATTTTGCAGATGACGGCAGTGAGGCTCAGACCGCGGGAGCGCCGTGGGGTCGCCGCTTCTGCGAGGCGGCTGTGCGGATTCCTCATCCTCAGTCTGCAGGCTCGGGCTGCGGGGTCCTCGGTCCTGGGGTCTCAGCCTCCCCACGGAGGAAGGGGGCGCCCTTCGGGCCTCTCCAAGCGATGAAGCTGCGGGAGGGAGTGGGGATGGCAGGACTCGGGTCCCCAGAGGCGCGGAGTCACCAGGCGCGCACACAGCGCTCACCTGCGCCCCTCAGACCTGAGTTGCCGCCTTTTCGCAGCGTGGGGGCCGGGCCCTGCGCGACCCGGACGGTGCCGGGGGCCCCGGGGGCGGGGCCGGGGCGGAGCCGGGGCGGGGCCGGGTTCCGTGGAGACCCAGGCGGCGCGGGGAGGCGCGGCGCGCGCACTCGCGCCCGGACCGGCCGAACTAGGTGAGCCGAGCCAGGATCCCTGGGTTTGCTCCCCACTTTCCCTAACTTTCTGTTTGGCCCCTCCCTCGGCACGGCCCCGGGGCGGCAGCGCGGTCCTCCCTTTCCCCCCGACCGGAGTGTGGCCGCGGCCGGTGGCGGGAGAACCCCAGAGTACGGCGGACTCGGCCCCGAGCAACTTCCCGCGACCTGGGACGGTCAGGCTGTGTCTCCAACTTTCTGCCTGCGTGGGGTCCCCATCGTGGACTCACCCTCCAGAGTCCCGGGGTCTCTGAGCATGTCCCCATCTCTTCGCTCTGTGTGTTTTCATCTCCCTCCAGGCAGGGACGCGCCGGGGCCTAGGGGTGACATTTCTGGAGTTAGGGCCGGGGCGCCAGCTCTGGCTTGAGGCGGGTGGTCACTTCTGTTTCAGGCTGGGGACATGCTCAGGGATAAGGGGAGAACGGACTTCACCTCCTTCCAGGACGCTCTGTGGCTGTGCCAAGAAGTGTCGGGTGCCCAGGGCTAGGGTGCAGGAGCCCGGCGACGGCCCTGGTGAAGTCCCCGCCTCGTGCGGCGGTGTGACCCCGGCGGGCTCCTCAGCCTCTCTGGGCCGCAGTTTCCTTCTGTGAAACCAGGCTTCGGCCGCGGCAGACGCTGCGGTTCGCGCTAGGCCCGGCCCCTGTGTGAGCGAGCGGGGATGGTGTCCTGCTTTGAGCTTCGGGGTGCAGATGGGGCGTGGGTAGGGTAGCAAGGCCTCCTCCTTCCAGCGCTGCAGCTGTTTAGACACCAGACGGGGGCGGAGGGCGCACCAGTGGACGCGAGGTCCTACCCTCTGCTCCTGCGGGCTGGGCGCCTGGGTGGGGGCCGCGCTCCCTCCCACAGCCTCCCTGTCGTGGGGCCACCCCGTGCGCGCAGCCCGGCGGCTCCTGTCCCGGCCGGGACCCAGGCCTCGGGCCGCAGGGCCGCGCGACCAGCAGCCGGGAGGCGCTTCAGCTGTGTGGCCCGGACCCGGGCGGCCTGAGGCACAGGGGCGGTGCTGCTCTGGCCGGGACGCGGGCCACTGAGGCCTCGGGCGGAGGAGGCCGGAAAGGAGGCCAGGCGGCGGGAAAGGCGGATGATTCATCTGGAGGATCCCGAATCGGAAACGCCGCAACCTGGGAACAGCCTTGCCCCAGCCGACGGGAGAGCGGGGAGGGGAGTCCATCCGGCGAGGCCCTGCGCCCCGGGCCGGCAGCCCCCTGCCTCCCGCCCAGCCGCTGGGGAGGGAGAGGCCTCTTTTGCGCGGAGTTGACAGCAATCCTGGACAAAGTCCGGCGCTGCCTCCTCTCCTCTGACTGCCTGGTCTTGGTCAGAGCGGTCTTCTCGGAGTCTAGCTCAAGTCTGTCCTGCTGCAGCTTCAGTGCTGACCGAGGTCTGGAAGGAGGGGGCGGGCAGGGAGAGGCTGGAGTCGGTGACATCCCCTCCTTCCTTCCCACGCTGCGGTATGTAAAGCGCAGTAGGGGGGAGGTGGGGCCCACGAGCGACCCCTGCGGACTAGGGCGGCCCGAGCGCCCCTCCCTCAGTGCCGTGCCGCCACGTGCGGGGGTGGGGTCGAGCCCGGGCGGTACTTACCCAGGAGACGCCGCTGCCTGGGGCCCGCGAGGCTTCCCGAGGCCCGGGACCCGCGCGGGGTAGCAACGGGCGCAGGCGGCCGGAGCCCCGCAGCCGGGGATGCGCCAGGGAGCAGCCCGCGCCCCCCTCCCTCCTCTCCGCCAGCAGGCCGGGCCAACTCCGGCTTCTGCCGCGCGTCCCTGGCTCGGTGCTCCGCTGCGGAAAACCCGAGCGTTGGAGGCTCCCCGCCTCGCAGCCCGGGAAAATCCGGGGGTGGCCGCCAGGGATCTCCAAGCGGCCTGGGCGAGGCGGTCCGAGCTTCCCTCCCGGATTTGGGCCCCGAGCCTGGCTCCCCGAACCTAGGTCCGTCGGTCCAGTCCCTGCCAACCATCTTCTCTCCGCAGAGCGCCCAGACGACAGCGAGATGACGGCTGGGAGCCCCGGAGACTGCGGGGAGGTGCGGAGGAGCCCCGAGGGCCGCGTCTCCCGCCTGGGTCGCCGGCTGGGCCGCCGCCGGCGCCCGCGCTCCCCGCCCGAGCCTCTGCGGGTGCGGGCGCGGCTGCGGCTGCGCTCGCCGTCGGGGGCGTTCGCCGCGCTGGGGGCGATCGTGGTATTGGTGGGCATGGGCATCGCAGTGGCCGGCTACTGGCCGCACCGAGCCGGGGCCCCGGGCCCCCGGGCCGCCAATGCCAGCTCACCCCCCCTGAGCGAGCTGCGACGCGAGGGGCGCGGCGCGGGCCGGGGCCATGGCCCGCACGAGCGGCTGCGGCTCCTTGGGCCGGTGATCATGGGCGTCGGCCTGTTTGTGTTCATCTGCGCCAACACGCTGCTGTACGAGAACCGAGACTTGGAGACGCGACGGCTCCGCCAGGGGGTGCTGCGGGCCCAGGCGCTCCGGCCCCCCGACGGCTCCAGCTGGGACTGCGCTCTCCTTCCCAGCCCGGGCCCGAGGACTCCAGGAGTTCTAGGCTGCGCAGAGCCAGAAATTTGGGACCTGTCCCCACGTCGGGGTACCTCACCCGTCCCGTCAGTGCGGAGTCTGCGTTCAGAGCCTGCTAATCCTCGCTTGGGGTTATCTGCCCTGTTCAACAGCTACCCGCTGAAGGGCCCGGGGCTGCCCCCACCTTGGGGTCCCCGGACCCAGACTGGCCACGTGATTATCACTGTGCAGCCTTCTGGTTCCTGCATTGAACATTCCAAGTCTCTGGATCTGGGCCTTGGGGAGCTCCTCCTTGGGGGCACAGCAGCTCGGGACTGCGCTCACCGAAGCTGGCCACGGCTGGACCGCCTCAGTCTGGGGGGGTATGCCAAACTGGGAGGAGGGGACTTGGGGGCCCGGGTCTGAGGAGCGGAGAGACAGCCTGCAATGAGGCTGCAGCATGGACCATGGTAATAGGACCAGAGGACCAGGAGTCCAATGTTAAGTAGATGCTTCAGTCACATCCCAGGCCGGGGATGGATGGATGTTCTGACCACAGCAGCTGCTGAGGCATCCTGACCTGCATGTGGGCAGAGAAATGCCAACCGCATTAGGGCCCTGTGAGCTGGAGAGAGGGTTGTTTCAATGTGGAGAGTGGAGACTAGCAGGACTCCGCCTCAGGAATTTCTTCAGCTTCCATATGTGGCCTTAGCCCTGAGAGGGCTTGGAGGTCCAGACTGGGGTGATTGGGAGATGCCCCTGGTGTCTTGGCAAACCCCAGATGGTGGGCGAGGACTCCTAATACTTGGAGGTAGGTTGGAGCAGGCTCCCTCCAAGGTGGCGCTGGTGACAGGGTTTGGGCCTCTAGGAAGATGAGCAATGGGGTGGAGTTGAGACCGTCCACTGCCATCCAGGATGGGGACTGAGCCTTTAACTCCCACCGCCTCAATCCCTTAGCCATGCGGGGTGTATATCCCATTAGGGCTACACTACTGCCACTGCCTTCATGTGAGGTCTGGCTCCTCCCCAAAGAGGTCTGAGAAGCCCCTTTCTCTCTCTGCTTAGCTTACTTTAGAAAATAGCTTGAGTTTAGGTCTCCCCCACCCATGTTTAATTTTTCCCAAGTTGCTTATAGGGGAAGAGAAATTTAAAAGTAGGTCACTCCTTACAGTCAGTCTTTTTTTAATGTTTATTGAAAAATGCAATACAAGAAGCAAGACCAAACACATACCTAAACACTACAGCTACTTCTCCTACAAAAGGCCAGAACAGCAGACCTATTTCCTATGTAATCTAAGGATTTTGCCACTTTGATTCTGCTGCCATAGTTCCTATTTTATCAAGAAATGTAAACTACTTGATATGATTCATAATTTTTTTAAAAATTTACAAAGTTCCTTCATTTTTGTCACCAAAATAATACATTTGAGAGATCTGTAAAAACAACCAGCCTGGGGCTGAGATCCTGGGCAGAGATTTCCCATGAGCATCAAGGGGTGCTGGTTAGGCCACAGCTCTGGTTCCATTTGCAAGGTGGACTGTTGTCTCCTCACCCCCAGCCACGGGTAGGCTTCCCCCAACACAGTGATGGGCCTCAGGGAGGGGCCAGGCAAAGGTGCCCTGCCAGGTCCCTGCAGTTAGTTAGGCTCCCTGAGCCCTCGGCTTTTGGATACAGGTCTTGCTTTGTGGGTGGGTGCCAGAGACCTCATGTGGTTTGGAGCAAATTTTATTTCTCAAGTGAAAATAAAACTGCAGTGAGAGTTGTTACTGTGGTGTGTCTGAGTCACTTTAGGAAAATTGTTGCCAAGTTTCTGACCCTGGAAATGTAACTCTCCTCTCCCTCTTCACCATTTCTATCTGGACAGAGTCTGTTTTCTTCACATACACACACAACTGCAGAAAGAAAAAAAATCCAAACAATCGCCAAATCCCAAGTTCTGTTGCCAGAGACGGAGGAAAGGGGAAGAGGCCTGGAAGGACACCCATCTTGCTGGGCTTGTCCAAATCGTGGCTGCTCAGGGCTGGTCCAGTTAGAGACGAGGAAGGAGAGACAAGTGAGCCGGTAACAGCTGAGGGAAAGTTCAGCACTCCTCCCCCCACCCCCCATGGTCCTGTGCTGTGAAAGCTGCCACATTGATCTGGATGGCAGATTACTCAGTATGCCAAGTTTTTAAATGGCTGCACTGTGCCCTCTTCCTGTCCCCCATCTGCTTCTTTCCACAGGTTTCAGCTTTGGGAGCCCCAGGAGCTCTGGTTTGTTCCTGAGATAGGACAACCTCCTTTCCCTGTCTGTCCTACATCTCACCTGTGCTCTTCCCTTCCCTCCTATTGGTAGTAACAGTGTCACCTGGATACCAAAAGAAAAATGCACACACCCGAAATCAGTTCAAACCAGCTGAGTTTGTGTAAACCAAACAAAAGTCATCTAGTAGAGACTTTGGACGCCTGCCTCCTGCTCCCAGTATCAGGAGCAGAGGTTTAGACTTCTCTCTTGCTCACTGCCCCTGAGCCCCCAGGGACTGCTGTCCCAGACCCACTGTCTATCTCATGAAATTCACTTCTAGCCTAGAATTAGGATTCTAAGAAGCCTCGAGGCAGATCTGTTTGTAGGAAGCAACTGGAACATCAGAGAAGCCCTATTGAATAAAAATGCCCCCAAATCCTTTCAAGGAACCAGGAACATCAGTTCTCATTTTCAAAACCAAAACGAAAAGAAAGAGGAGAAGAAAGAAGGAAATGAAAAAGAAGAGAAACTAAGTCCAAAACCCACTACAAAATCAAGCCTATAAAACCTGACAGACCTTCAATGGTGAGTGGGAGTGGCACTGGAGCTTGTGCCCCTTGTCATGTGGTGTCCTGGGGAGGACACCCTAACTCATGTGGGGAGGGATGCCCTAGAAGCCAATTCCCTTGCTCCAGAAGGGTGTCCTCAGCAGGTGCCTGTTGCAAGAAGAAAGGTCAAAGAACAGAACCTCCTCTCTGAGCCACATTCCTTATCATTCGGGATGAAAGAGGCCCAGGGATGGTCACCTGGAAATACTTCTTAGGATCTGATTGAGGTAAACCACCTTTTCCCTATGTGAAGTGCACACTCTCAGAACTAGAAAACCTTATTTTAAAAACCTCATTACATTTCCTTCTGCAAATCACCACTAAAAATGTTCCATTAAGCTTTTGGCCAAAAGTCCCTACTTTTTCGTGAGTTTTGTTCTCCTGAGATGGGAGCTGGAGGAGCACTTAGCGGAGCCACTGCTGCTGCTGAGGTAAGAGGGCAGATGGAGAGGTGAAGGCCACAGAAATGGTCAAACATTCACAGTATCAGATATAACTTAAGCAATTTCTTATGTCTTTGACCCAAAGAAACTCCGAAAAAAAAAAAAAAACAGGAGAGGAAGGAAAAATATTACATTCTTAGCATAGGTCTCTGCCTTACCAAAACCACCCTTAATAAAGGGACAGGGATATTTTTCTGGGGTCTGTGGGTCAGGGCAGTCACCCTGCCTGACATTTTAGTAAAGTCACATCATTGGCTCTGAGAAAGAACTGGTTCATAAAGTTTCTGCTGTCGTCCAAAGGCTATAAGACTAGGGGAGGAGCGTGGAAGTTCCTTCCACTGTGCTGGCTTTGGCCTCCAACACAGCTGACAGAGTCTTTGGAGGGTTTCCTGAAGAATTCTGTGGACCCTGTCAGTATTGGGCTTGGAAATACATGGGCAGAGGCTAGGCTGAAGGGGTCACAAGCCACCCTGTAAAAAACCAAAAACTCTTTTAAAACAGTCCATAAAGTGAAAAGTTGAAGAATATCTGATATCACAATATAGAAAAAGGTCTTCAAAAGCATCAGTGATATCTAGAAGAATCTCTTTGTATAAACTCCAAATAGAAAATGAAATTAATTTTCTGGTGGTTTAGAATAATCTTGAAAGTCTGAAGTCTATTGCAGATTAGTAGCTTCTTTATCATTTCGCTGGTTTCTCTTAGATGGGAGAAGGGCAGAGAGTTAGGGGTAGGATAGTTCCTAGAAGAAAGAAAGAAGCAAAATTTTAAACCCTGCAAAGGAGGAAAGCTTCCCAGTTCCACTGCAAAGTTCTTGTGGCCATAAGTAACAGTCAGGACCTGAGTGGTTTTTAGGACACAGTCCTACCTGGTGATTGGTGGCTTCTTCAATTCATTTGTAAACTACTTTTAGGCATGAATTTATCTGGCTCCCTGGCTCCCAAAAAGCAGCTTCCCTGCCTCCAACTCTCTAGTCTGGCCCCCAAACTTCATCCATTCCCCCCTCCCTTCCCAACCCACTCATCTCCAGACAGCCTGGCCCTACTCTTGTTTTTTAATCCTCCGCTGGCCCTCTCAGGTTCTGGCTGAGACACCTGTGACAGCAGAGAGCAGAGCAGTAGGAGATGTGCGAAACTCAGGGGGTGGATGGGGGTTTCTATCCAAGTTTGGGATCCCCCCTCTCACCCAACACCGCTGGCACTGCTAAAGGCAAGGGGACACAAACAACCTGGCTGCTTTAAGTGGAGCCAAATACTTAACGATCTATCTCCTCATCAGTCTCTCCTCTGATTTTACTTCCTACAGTCCTGGTGTGGACACCTCTTTGGGGAGATGAGCTCCTGGAGTGCCCAGGGCTTCTGTCCAGAGCTCTCTCAGGCTGGGATAGTGGCATCCTCACCCCTCGCAGGAATACCTTCCTCTACCTGAGCTCAATCCTCAGCAATCTCGGTCTCTTGATGGACGACCACCTTGGTCACTGACATGTCTGGGTGCTGTTCCTTCGCCTCCTTGATGGCTTGTACAAGGACCTACAAAAGACAGAAACAAAGCCCATCAGGCAAAAAGCAGCCTGGCTGGTGAAGGCAGGCAGGGATCATAGGGCATCAATCGCATTTCTCTGATACCCTGACAAATCCAGTCCTGTCTGCAGAACCACGGCAGCATTCAGGCTAAGCCAAGCTGATAGATAATTACCTTGCCCACTCTGTGCTATACAGGCAGGCTCCCTGACTGCTAACACAGAGACAGGGAAGGTTAGAGCTGTCTTCAAGGAATCGGAGAGGGACTTCAGGGGTGACAGCTGCACCTACCTGGGTGGGTTTGAGAGGATTCACTCAAGAAGTGAATCCACAGGACAAAACAAAATCTGTGTTCCACACAGGGTAACCAGGAAGTTCAGGACAGAAAAGAAAGTAAAGAAGCATGCTACAAAAAGGAGGGGATGTCTTTGGCTAAAGTAAAAGAAAGGAAGGAAGAGGGGGAAGTCCTATCACATGCCATGTGCTAGCCTAAGCACAGTACTTATTATTATTATTTTTTTTTAGTATTTTGATTATAATTTATTAAAACATAAATATCAAATACAAGATAACCTTTGATATTTCCTTGATTCAGACTTTGTTATTACTTCTAATCATGCCTTTCCTTATTCATTAGTAGCTCATTTATTCCCTTATGCCACCTCACCTTAAAAAGTTCTTAAGAATTTTTGCTATAAGTCCTATAAGTGCAGCAAGGCATTTGAGTGGACCATTGTTTCCCTTCTACAAACTCTAGAGTAAGAATAAGTAGTGGGAATAGTTAGGATTACATAGGTGCATTTTTGTAATTAGAAGGTGAGCAGCTGTTAAACTCAATGTCTTAAAGAATTTTATTTTTTTAATGTCAATGATTTATTTTATTTCAACATACAGTACTTATTTAATCTTTACAACTCCATGAACTAGGATAGTATCATTATTTCCATTTGATAGATAAGGAAACTGAAGTTCAGTGGTTAAATAAAGTGCTTATTATTTCACAGCTAGTAAGTCATGCAATAGTGTTTCTAACTCAAGTCTAGCAGACTTTCCTCTTTATCACATTGTTTTTTTTAATTTCAGACAGGGCCCCTGTTTGAGCAGCTGGAGGAGTTTTGATTATTGCAGAAAAGCTAAAAAGAGCAGAGGGAAAGTCAAAGGAAAGCAATGATACCACTCCCCTTGGGCTGTGAGTCTCCGAGCCTATAGGCCCCCCCAGCAAAAAGGACCCCATCTAGAACTGACCAGCTGACTGCTCACCCTAGCTCTTAAGAACCATCACTAGGGGAGGAGGGGATGGGTATATACAAACACAATGAGTGAGATGTGCAACGTTTGGGAGATGGTCACGCTTGAAGCTCTGACTCGAGGGGAGAGGGGGGTCATGGGCAATATACATAACCTTAACATTTATACCCCCATAATATGCTGAAATAAATAAATAAATAAAAAGAAACATCACTAGGAGGGACAAGGGAAGAAGGAAAATTCCTCTTCTGTTCTCTTGCTTCCATGCAAGGCATTCTTGGAACTGCCACCTCTATGGGCCCTGTTTATCCTCCCAGATTCTGTCTGTCAGCCCATCTGCTTATACTTCAGGCCCAGCTCAAGCCACCCCCCTTACCCCCCGCCCTTGGTGACTCTCTATGAAAGCCTGCACCACACAGCTTTTCCTTCATGGTATTTTTTTTTTTTTTTTTTGAGACAGAGTCTCGCCCTGTCGCTTGGGCTAGAGTGCAGTAGCTGGAGTGACGTTATCCTAGCTCACAGCAACCTCAAACTCTCGGGCTCAAGCAATCCTCCTGCCTCAGCCTCCTGAGTAGCTGGGACTATAGGTGTGCACCACCAGATCTGGCTAATTTTTTCTATTTTTAGTAGAGACAGGGTCTCACTCTTGCTCAGGTTGGTCTTGAACTCCTGAGCTCAAAGAATCCTTCTGCCTCGGCCCCCCCAGAGTGTTGGCATTACAGGCCTGAGGCACCGCACCAGGGCCACAGTCCTTCTTAAAGTACCTCTCTCCCCAGGCAGAGTTCACCATATCTTATCCCTTCCATGTACTTTCAGTACCTAGAAAAACTGAAGGACACTGGAGAATCTCTCTGAGCTATCAAGTGTGTTTGTCCTTTTGTCACAACAACCTAGGAAGAAACCTGTAACCATCTTTATTTTACAGATGGCAAAACTGGAGTTCAGAGAAGTCATATACGTTGCTCAAGGGCACACAACCTGCAAGTCGCAGAGTCAGGATTTGACTCAAGTCTGTCTCACTCCAAACACCAAACCCCTTCCATGCCACTGCTTTTGCTATCTAGTGCAAATGGAGTACACAACAGAGGCTCAGATCATTCCAGACTGGGCAGGTGGCTGCAGGCTCATAATGCAGCAGGACCCACTGAGCTTGGCAAACAGGCTGTGAGGTTTGAGCCCCACTTGGGCTTTGCAGTCTTGTTTCTGGGACCCTGAACCCAGTATTCTCAGCTGTTAAGTCTTAACCCTGATACCAAGGGAACTAACTGACAGCACTGCAGCTCAGTTTTTCTTTTTTAAAAGACATTCAGCATAGCAGCATAAAGGCCACAGAATTATTGCTCTAGCAATCCTGTCAATGATTCCAGAAGCATTTGCATACAGTCTCTTCCACCCCCTCTTCTCTGCAGCTTCACTGTTCTAACCTCACCCAGCAGAGAATTGGGAACATTAATCCTGACCTTATTATTTGCTAATTGCTTGTAGCACACAATTAGCACCTAATTAACATAAAAACATAGAATTTTAACACTCAGAAGGGCCCAGAAATTATCTAGATCAACCCACTCTCTTTTAGGAGAGGAAAAAAATCAGAGGTAAAGTGATTTGCCCAAGGTCACACAGCAAGTTAGGGACAGATCTAGGACATAAAGCAAGTTGAAGTCTCCTAGACTTGTCCATCACAATATGCTGCCCCTTGTTGTCTCCCTAGCTATTAAGGCCTGCTGAAATGGGGATCACACCTTCCCTTCACTTTGATATCATCTAGCACACATTTAGGCACACTATACTTCCCCAGTAACAACAGCTCCATTTACTGTTGTAAATGGCCCACCATGTGCCACAGGTCACAGACCCTATATCTCACTTGATCCTCACAACAACATGCAGAGGAAGACACTATCATCCCCTTGTTATGGGTAAGGAAATGGAGGCCCACAGAGTTAAGAGCTAGAATAATAGTAAGACTCAGCATTTGAACTCAAGTGAATCCAATGCCCATGTTCTTTCCATTACACTTTCTGGCTTCCTCAGTCTGGGCCCCCAACCCACAGGCCTCAGTATTTCCATTCCCTTTGTCCTTCTCTCAAGTAAGAGCTGGAGTGGCCGATGAGGAGATGAAGATGGCAGAAGTATCCTTTGCAAGCTCTTGTATCCGTCAGTCTTCCTGCCCAGGGACCCCTCCTACACCCACAATCTCCTCAGCATTCCCACCTGGTCATGGTCAATATTGGCATCTCCTGTGATCACAATTCTCTTCTCAATCCGAGTCTCTGAAATCCCACCTTTTACAGTCTGGAACCAAAGAGTGGCAGTCATATGAGATCAGCAATATAACAAAAAAGAAAAAAAAACAGCAAAGATTATTCTGAAAGCTCCACTCCAAATTTTAACTTGCTGCTGGGTACTGAATAGGACGGCTTTCTTACCCACGTGTCCAAAATCTTGGCTAGACATAAAACTCCTTTGGATTGTTAAAGTCTTTACAAAGTTAAACAGAAAGTCACAGTTCTCTATTTATTTACTTTCTCTTTTTCCTTCCTCCCACCACCACAAAAATTCAACAAGTAAACAAAACAGGTGTTTCCCTGCTTGTCTCCTATATATTTTTATTTGATCATTTTCAGGACAAAAAAATCAGAAGACTATGAATAAATATGTCACATAGCTTGAAATTGGGCTCTTGTGTTTTAAAGCATTTTTCATATTATTGATGTCAAAAGATTCTCAAATAATCTCCTGAGGGTGGGTAGGTTTCCCTTCCTTACAGAAGAGGAAAACCAAGATCTAGACACATTAAGTAGCTGGCTTTCAGTCATCTGTATGTTGATGACAGAGCTTGGTCAAGAACCTAGATTTCTTACCTATAACAAAAAAATGGATTTTCCTCTCATGCTACAGCAAACATGGATTGCCTCTGATTTTCTGAGGGTAGTTCCAATATTAGATATTTAATCCCTTGTGCTTCCCATAAACCATACTCTAATTCTATTTCAGCATCCAAACTATAGTTCCCATGGCCTCACCCTGGACATGACATAAAAATTCTCTGTCAGACCCAGAGTTCTGATTTTTTGGCTTGGAAGATATAGTTGCATAATAACAACAACAATACTTACCCTTAAGCTGACTTTTTAAATTTACTGTCACAGCCAGATAGGGGACTCACTGGCCAGAGAGACAGGCAGATGTGTAGAGAGAAGAACCACATATGACTTTATGAGACTATGAGGTAGGCAGGGATAGTTTCAGGCTCTCCCTAGGTTTACTGCTGGGGAAAGCAGCAAGGATTTTCCATCTGGGACTCAGCTTAATTTCGTTTAGTAGAGACGGCAGCTGAAAACCTTTATTTATGGACTGGGGTACCTCTTGCAGAGAGGTGGCAGCAAGCACAACATGCCACTGGATTCCATAAGGAGGTTCTAGCTGGTCTGTTACCTTGGTAATCTGAGTTGTGGTGGTGCTGCTTGTGGTCTCAGATGTGATGGTCTGAGCTGTCAGCAAAACGCCTGGGTCCAAGTCCCCATTGCTGTCGTCAGTCTGCAGAAGAAAGCACAGCTTGTCATCATGCCCCTCAGGAAGCCTTGTGGGCAAATGTTGCAGGCTGCAGGTTGCTCTTCAGCTGTACATTCTGATGCAAAAATCTCATTCCCTTATGGTGACCTCTTAATAAATAAATCCTGGAAACGTAGCTCCTTCTAAATAAGTTGGATGGCTAGTTTCCTTAGTATTAGGTCAGTGACCAGAGACAGGTCAGAAAGAGGCAGGAGTATAGCCACAGGTTCAATAAGAATGACAATAGCTACACACATGTGCAGCATTTTATAGTTCACAAATGCTTTCAAAACATTACTGATGTTCATACCAGCCTTATGAAAGGGCAGAGATTTATTAGCACCCCTGTTAAGAAAACACAGGCTCAGAAATGTGAATGATTAGCTCAAGGACTCAAAACTAGTAAATAGCAGTTGCACCTTCTATGATCTGTCGTTTACACACCACCCACAAAAGGAAAGGTGTAAACTCTTGGTTGCTAAGGTATGGGTAGGCTCTGAATCAAAAGGCAGAATTTTCTAGAAAGAACTGGATAAGGTCCTTACTGGGGTTGAAGGGGCTAAGGAATCTCAGGATATCTTCTTTAAAGGTTGACATAAGACACTGGAGCAAATGAGGTAGAAATATGTTCTTTTAAGGGAAAGGGGGAGGAAATATGCAAAATGTCTTAATGATATTTTTGACAACAGAACTATTATTGAAAGGGGTCCTTCGTATTGGGAGGGGTTTTAAAGTATTTAAAATGCCAGACCACCCAACTAATCTATACAGAGAACAAGGGCTGAGGCTACTTGTTTCTCCAGAGCTCACTATATCATGACCAAAACAACATATTCTGACCACGCTGAGAAACACCATTAGCAAAAAGGAAGAGAGATGGTTTGCAGGGGCCAAACTCAGCCTGGCGAACAGCTGTCAGTAACCCATTTGGGCTATTAGTATACTTAGAACTGCTGACAGCCCCACCACCAAGACGGAAACAAACTGGACTAGGAGGATGGAGTCTGCATATTGCAACATGCTTTTCAGGTAACAATGACCTATTATACAATATCTGTACACTGTCTCAAATGGACATTTAGAGAATTGCAATATTTTCATACAAAACTCTTCAGCAAAAATGTGTTAGGTTACTAATATCTTTCTCTGCCTCTTTATGTAAAGTCATTTGTATTATAAACAGAGGCCTCCAATATTTTTATGAACAGGAACACATTTCACTGAACCAAAACTGTGAGCTATTAGGGGGCAGGGCAGAAGGAGGAGAAGAGTAGTATTAGGAAGGAACAGAGTCCTTGACTGGGTTCCCTACCAGGTAGGAATCTGGACAAAACCAAAGAGAGGGAACATGATTGTGCTACTTAAGTCTTGTACACATGCTGCCATCATACCAGGTATATTATTAGCTAGTTCACTAAAATTTTCTTCAGCCAATACCACTTATCTACCTTAGATTCAGACTCAAAACTAATATTTATTGCACTTCTATGTGCCAAGCACAAAATTCAACTGTTACCTCAATTATGCCTCTCAATATCTGAGGTAGGTCCTTATTATTATACTCACTGTACAGTTAAGAAATCCAGATAGGTTAAATAATTTGTTCAAAGTTCTGTAGCTAATAGGTGTTTGAACTAGGACTTAGGGCAAGAAATGTCTTGTTTGAAGACTGGGGTTTAGATCCCAGCTCAGTAATCTGTGGGAACTTGGGCAAGTCATTCTGATTTCTCTGAGCTTTAGTTTTCTCATTTATAAAAGGCAAAACGGTAATATGTGCTCTGCCTATACTGTAGCACTATCTTGAAGATAAAAAGAAACTATAAAAATAAAAGTACTTTATAAATTGTTATAAGAATGTAAGTTTGGGGCCGGGCGAGGTGGCTCATGCCTGTAATCCTAGCACTCTGGGAGGCTGAGGCAGGAGGATTGCTCAAGGTCAGGAGTTCGAAACCAGCCTGAGCAAGAGCGAGACTCCGTCTCTACTATAAAAAGAAAGAAATTAATTGGCCAACATATATATATAAAAAATTAGCTGGGCATGGTGGCGCATGCCTGTAGTCCCAGCTACTTGGGAGGCTGAGGCAGAAGGATTGCTTGAGCCCAGGAGTTTGAGGTTGCTGTGAGCTAGGCTGATGCTGCAGCATTCACTCTAGCCTGGGCAACAAAGCGAGACTCTGTCTCAGAAAAAAAAAAGAATGTAAGTTTGGGGAGGCCGAGGCGGTTGGATTGTTTGAACTTAGGAGTTTGAGATCAGCCTGAGCAAGAGCAAGACCCTGTCTCTACTAAAAAAATAGAAAGAAATTAGCTAGACAACTAAAAATATATAGAAAAAAATCAGCCGGGCATGGTGGCGCATGCCTGTAGTCCCAGCTACTTGGGAGGCTGAGGCAGGAGGATCGCTTGAGCCCAGGAGTTTGAGGTTGCTAGGAGTGAGCTAGGCTGACTCCATGGCACTCACTCTAGCCTGGGCAACATTGTGAGATTCTGTCTCAAAAGAAAAAAAAATAATTTAAGTTTGCATGCCAAGAGGGCTAAACTGTTCTGAAGGGCTCCTTCTCTATAAACCTGTGTCTATCTTTCTCCGCCTCCCATGCACTCCCTCTACTCTCCTTTCTGTCTCTGAAGAAAGTGGAAGATGGAAGAGAGACTGCTATGGTTTCCTACTTAGACTCTTCCCTCATGGGGCCTCTTTTCTTTAATCCTCTTACCAATGTTCCCTCAAAATGGTACTGTGACTTTGAAGCTGCTTACAAAGTTAAACATCCACTTACCCTATGACCCAGCAATCGCACTCATAGGTATTTACCCCAAACAAGTGAAATATTCACAAAAAGATTTGCACACGAATGTTCATAGCAGCTTTATTAATATTTTCCCTAAACTGGAATTAATCCAATTGTTCATCAACAAATGAAAAGATAAACAAATTGTGGTATATTCATACAATGGAATGCTATTCTGTAATGAAAAGGAGTGAATTACTGATTCACATAATATGGGTGAATCTAAAAAACATGTTCATAGAAGTTGGCATCCAATGGGTAAATTTCAAATAATAAAATAAAGTAAAAAAATAAAAATAAAAATAAAAAACATGTTCAGAAAGAAGCCAGACACAAAAGTATACTACTGTATTCTTCCATTTACATGAAGTCCAAAAACAGGCAAAACTAAGCTATAGTGATGGAAATCAGAGCAGTGGCTGCCTAGAGGGGTAGAAACCAAATGCAGGCTATGAAAGAAGTTTCAGGAATAATGGAAATGTTCTGTATCCTAATTGTGTCTTGGTTACACAGGTGTAGACATTTGTCAAAGTCAATCAAATTGAACACTTAAATTTGTGCATTTCCCTGTATGTAAACTTTACTTCAAACATACACACACACAAATAAAAAACCCCTACTCTATAGGTGGAGTGGAGTTCATGTCCTATAATCCCAGGGCTTTAGGAGGCTGAGGCAGGAGGATTGCTTGAGGCCAGGAGTTTGAGACCAGCCTGGGCAACACAGGGAGACAAAATATTTTTTAAAAAATTATTTGAGGCTGGGCGCAGTGGCTCAATCCTAACACTCTGGGAGGCCGAAGTGGGTGGATCGCTCAAGGTCAAGAGTTCAAGACTAGCCTGAGCAAGAGCAAGACCCCATCTCTACTATAAATAGAAAAAAATTAACTGGCCAACTAAAAAATATATATAAAATATATATATATAAAATTAGCTGGGCATGGTGGCACATGCCTATAGTCCCAGCTACCTGGAAGGCTGAGGCAGAAGGATTGCTTGAGCCCAGGAGTTTGAGGTTGCTGTGAGCTAGGCTGACCCCATGGCACTCTAGCCCAGGCAACAGAGTGAGACTCTGTCTCAAAAAAAAAAAAAAGTAAATAAATTATTTGAGCATGGTAACACGTGCTTGTATTCCTAGGAGAGTGAGGGGGGAGAATTGCTTGAGCCCAGGAGTTCAAGGCTGCAGTGAACTATCATCACACCACTGAACTCTAGCCTAGGTGGCAGAATGAGACCTTGTCTCTAAAAAAAGAATAGAAATAAACTCTCCTGTGGCCCCCCATCTCCTCTCACCATGTTTCCCAAAGTGCGGGGATTGTGAATGAATAAAAAACTGGTACTTGGGTTTACTTGTCAGGTAATATAATAAAAACAAAAGCACAAACAGTTCTAGTAAATAAATAAATAATCACAAATAAATGTCTAGTGCTTATTCTTATTATGTGCCAGGGACTTTGGAAACATTTTATGTACATAATTCACTTATTCGTCACAAGAACCCTATGAGGTAGAAATATATAGCCATGTTTTACAAATGAGGGAACTGAGGCACAGAACCATTTAGTAACTTGACTGCACACTAGTAGGTTATGGAGCAAGTATGAGCCCGGGAAATCTGACGCTAAAGTCAACACTCTTCCCCACCATCTAGCGTCAATAATAAAAAGCAATTTGTATTTTGGCTATCTTACGCCTGGCTAAAATGAAATAAAGACAGATGTTTAACAATGTAACATAGTAATAGCTACCATGTGCCAGACAAATACTATCCTTATTTCAATAACTCTATAAAAATATTTTTCAGAAGAAAAAACTTATACTCAAAGAGGTTAAGTAACTTGCCTAAGGTCACAAAACTAGCAAGGGTTGTAATTAAGATCCAAGTCTAACTCCAAAGCCTGTATGCTTTGTCTAGCACATCATGCTGCCTTTTTGTTTCTCTTACATGTTAGGATATTTTTAAATCACTGCTTCATTTTCCCATTTTTGTAGGGGTCACACACAAACCACATGGGCTTCTCTGGGCAGTGTGGCTCTAACTTTTCTCCTTTTTTTTTTTTTTTTTGAGACAGAGTTTGACTTTGTGCCCAGGCTAGAGTGAGTGCCATGGCATCAGCCTAGCTCACAGCAACCTCAAACTCCTGGGCTCAAGCAAGTAGGTGGGACTACAGGCATGCGCCACCATGCCCAGCTAATTTTTTTGTATATATATTTTTAGTCGGCCAATTAATTTCTTTCTATTTTTAGTAGAGGCGGGGTCTCGTTCAGGCTGGTTTCGAACTCCTGACCTTGAGCAATCCACCCACCTCGGCCTCCCAGAGTGCTAGGATTACAGGCGTGAGCCACCGCACCCAGCCTTTTCTCCTTTTTTTTGAGACAGTCTTGCTCTGTTGCTCCGGCTAGAGTGCTGGGGCATCAGTCTAGCTCACAGCAACCTCAAACTCCTGGGCTCAAGCGATCCTCCTGCCTTAGCCTTCCAAGTAGCAGGGACTACAGGCATGCGCCACTGGGCTGGGCTAATTTTTTCTATTTTTAGTAGAGACAGGGGTCTCATTCTTGCTCAAGCTGGTCTTGAACTCCTGAGCTCAAGCAATCCTCCCGCCTTGACCTCCCAGGGTGCTAGGATTACAGGTGTGAGCCATGGTGCCCAGCTGGCTTTAACTTTTAAAACAATTTAGTCTGAACCATTAAAATTTTTTTTTTGAAAAGTTTCTGTTCATGTCCTTTCCCCACTTTTTCAGAGGGTTGTTTGGTTTTTTTCTTGCTGATTTTCTGAGTTCTATCTAGATTCTAGTTATTAGCCCTTTATCAGATGTGCACCATTGGTATTAACTGATCAACACTTATGTGCACATATAGTAGTAACATTCATCGGGTGTCGGGCAGGTAGGAGGGGGCAGGAGGGGATGGGTATATTCACATCTAATGGATGCAGTGCACACTATCTAGGGGATGGACATGCTTGAAGCGTGAAGCTCTGATTCAGGTGGGGCAAAGGCAATATATGTAAACTAAACATCTGTACCCCTGTAATATGCTGAAATAAAAATAAATTTAAAAAATTGTTTTTGATATGTCTATGCTGTAAAATTCAAAAACTTCAAAATGTTGTATAGTGAAAAGTCATTCTTATTCCCATTCCTGACCAAAATCTCACAGTCCCAGTTCCCTTCATTAGAGGCCACTGTACTTCTTGTTGTTGGGAGTACCCAGTCAGAGATAGTGTATAGATATATAAGCCTATGCATACACAGCTCTTACACACACTGCTGTTTATGTATCCCCTTTCCCTTCCATAAACATTAGCATATTATTCACCTAATAGTGTACCATAATAGTTCACTTACCAATTTATCACATACATTGTTCCCATTAGAAGCTTTTTTTAATAGTCATATAGAATTACCTTAATTGGATGTACCATAATTTATTTAACCAGCTCCCTACTGATGGACATTTAGGTTGTTTCCATGGTAATGACAACTTAAAGGGATTCCCACCCATATGCAAGTAATTCTTTCCTACATCCTCTGCTAATAGTGTGCACAATCTTAAAATTTCCTATTTCTTTATTTTCCAGTCCCCTTCACTACAAAGTACTACTCACTCATTTCTCTCTCTTGACTGACATATCTCTTTCTTTTTATTTCCTCAAGGTATACTTCAGTTCTGGAGAAGAATCTCCCCAGACCTGCCCCAATCATATTTCTGTCCCTAGGCCTCCCCCTACTTTAATATATTCAACAAACAGCTTTAGGAATCATCTTCCAAAATCATTGCTTTATTTCATTTAAAAAATTTATTTATTTATTTTTAGAGATGGGTTCTCACTATGTTGCCTAGACAGGAATGCAGCGGCTATTCACAGGTGCAATCACAGCTCATTGCAGCCTCCAACTCCTGGGCTCAAGCCAAGCAATCCTCCTGCTTCAGCCTCCTGAGTAGCTGGGACTATAGGTGCGTGCTACCACAGCAGATTAATCTTTTTTTTTTTTTTTTGAGACAGAGTCTCGCTTTGTTGCCCAAGCTAGAGTGAGTGCCGTGGCGTCAGCCTAGCTCACAGCAACCTCAAACTCCTGGGCTCAAGCAATCCTACTGCCTCAGCCTCCCGAGTAGCTGGGACTACAGGCATGTACCACCATTCCCAGCTAAGTTTTTTTTCTATATATATTAATTGGCCAATTAATTTCTTCCTAATTTCCCTGTAGAGACGGGGTCTTGCTCTTGCTCAGGCTGGTTTCGAACTCCTGACCTCGAGCAATCCGCCCGCCTCGGCCTCCCAGAGTGCTAGGATTACAGGCGTGAGCCACTGCGCCTGGCCTCCAGACTAACCTTTTAAAAATTTATGTAGAGACAGGGGTCTCGCTATGTTACCTAGGCTAGCCTAGAGCTCCTGGCCTTAAGCAATCTTCCCAGCTTGGCCTCCCAAAGTGCTAGGATTACAGGCATGAGCCACTGCATCCAGCCACAAAGCACGTGCTTTTTAACTGCCAATGTACACTGTTTCCTAAATGGAGATAACATCATCTACCTCATGGTGATGTGAAGATTAACTGAAAGGAGTTATGTGAAAGCACCCAGCCCAAGCTTCACATGGCTGCCTCCTTCCCATCATTCAGGCCTTAGCCAAAATGTTACCTCCTCACAGAGGAAATCCCTGACTATCCTAGCCCCAAAGTAGCAACCTTTCATTAATGCCATATTGTCTAACTACCCCATTTCAGTTTCTTTAGCATTAGCACTCTCCGAAATTTATTTATACATTTATTTATGGGTTTTATTGCCTGTCTCTCCTTACTAGAATGTACGTTCCAGAGACTAGGGACTGTATCTATCTTGTACACTGCTTTGCCTTAATATGTAAATGCTCAATAAATATTTGTTGCAGGAATGAATTAACAGCTCATTTTATAGAGGAAATAGATTTTCTTAACTTTGGCTTCTGTGAATTAAAAAAATAAAAATAATTCAACATAAATCAACTCTAGCCCACTAAGATCACCAAAAATGAAAGAGAAATTTTACTAACAATAGATGTAAAAAAATTTCAAATACTTAAACAACACCCTGATCAGGGTAGATATTAACATGAGCAGGGGAGATCAAGACTCTGAGTTAGTAAATGGAAGAACCAGGACTTGAACTCAGGTTTTTTGACCCCAGACTTGTATTTTTAACCATTACATTAGACTGCTTTCCCCAAGTGAATTTAGCGGATATAAGCAATCAGATCCAAGACAATTTTGCTTTTAATAGTTTGGGACATCCTTAGGTCAGTAATGTCTTCTAAAAAGAACTGCCCCAGAAAAACCTGGCATTATTTACAGCGAATAACTAGAAATGCTGTGAGGAAAGGTTATTTATTGTGTTTACTTTAGTCTTTGGCTCGGAAGAATCAAACCAGGTCCTACCTGGGCAGCCTCGTAAGTGATGGTCTTGGTCTCAGTGTGGACAATAGGAACATCCTTGGTCGGGATTTCACTTTTCCCAGCATTGGCAGTGTCTGAGATGGTGACAGTTTGAGTCTTCACCAGGGGAGGCTGTGAAGCAGTAAAGAAACAGTTATCAGAGTCCTTCTGAAGGCTGTGGAGAAGTAATCTTCTGACATTGATCTGATCAAAGTATAGCTTTAATCAAGCGAAGGGCTAGCTCAATCTCCAAAGGTGCCCAAGACTTGGACACTATTCCAAAGTAGCCCTGACAAGGCATCAAATCATGAGGGATATTAAAAAGCAGCATTAATATAATCACTTTCATAAGCTTAATGGAAAGCTATAAGATCAGAGAGTTATGATTGGTGATATAAAACATTTCAGACTGACCTTCAGAATTTGAATATAAAACTATTTGCCAAATAGCAATCACTTTTATTTGTCCTTGTGACTGTACCATTATAATTAAGAAAATCAGCCACATTTCCTCCACTAAGTACAAATGGTACATGAAACAGCAATGGCACTGGAATGCATTACCCTGGAATTCATTAACTTCTTTCAAATCAATGTCAGACATTCACTTTGGAGTTACTGAGAAGAAACAGTATTTGGAAAATTGGAAAGAAAAAAATCAGTTCTACCACCACCTGGTGATTAATCTCAGAATTTCAGAAGAATGAGCATTAGTGGAATATCAAAGGACTTTTTGTCCATCTGCTCACCTTCCCCAAGACTATAAATCACCTAAAACTACATTTGATGTGATAAGGTTAAATAGCCATTCACCTTAGCATAGGAAATTAGTGCCTATGATCCTGGAAGCCCCTGTGAGAGGAGTCAGTGGGAGTGGTGGGCTACATGATGTGGCTGCAGTATATAAATTATTATTGGGGGTCTGAGCTCTCATTTAAAAATCAGTTGCCCCTTTAATTAAGAGTATTTAAATTTTTTTAGTGTGATCTCAGAACACTAGAGGCTCCTCACCATAGAAGTCTCCAAAATTCACCTCCTTCTATAGCCCACACTTGAGCAAGGAAGAGATGAACATACTTATGCCAGCTTCCTAAAGACAAATTGCTGGAGTTCACTCCTAGGAGTCTCATTAAGTTATTGGGGGAGAAAGCATTTCCAGCCATGGAACTAATTTCTCTGAATGAACTTCTCTGTAGCAATCAAAGGCTTTAATTTTACTCTGTGATTTTGAAAAAAGCAGAGTCCACTACCCTCACCACACCACTAGGGGGGGTGTAAACTCTTGGTTGCAAAAGGTATTGTAGGCTCTGATCAAAAGGCAGAATTTTCTAGAAGAACTGAAAGTCTTACTGGTGAGGCAAGGAATCTCAGGATATCTTTCTTTAAAGTTGACAAAAGCCTGAGCAAATGAGGTTAAGAAATCTGTTCTTTAAGGAAAGGGGGAGAAATATCTAAAATGTCTTAATATATTTTGACAATCAGAACTATTATGAAAGGGTGCCTTCGTATGGGAGGGGTTTAATATCTTAAAATCCAGACCACCAACTAATCTATACAGAAACAGGCTGAGGCTACTTTTTCCCAGACTCACTATATCATTACCAAAACAACATATCTGACACGCTGAGAACACCATTAGCAAAAGGATAGAGAGATGGTTCGCCAGGGGCCAAACCAGCCTGCGAACAGCTGTCAGTTAAACCATTTGTGCTTATTAGTATTATTTAAACTGCTTTACACCCCACCACCAAACGGAAACAAACTGACTAGAGGATGGAGCGCATATTCAACATGCTTTCAGGTAACAATGAACCCTATTATACAATAAGTCTGTACACTGCTCAAAATGGACAATTAGAGATTGCCAATATTTTCTCAAAAAACTCTTCAGCAAAAATGTGGTAGGTGTACTAATATCTTCCTGCTCTTTATGTAAATCATTTGTTATTATAACAGAGGCCTCCAATTTTTATAACAGGAAATCACACTTTCTCGAACCAAAACTGTGAGTATTAGGGCAGGCAGAAGGAGGAGAAGAGTAGCTATTAGAAGAACAAGAGTCCTTGACTGGTTCCCTACCAGGTAGAAATCTGGACAAAACCAAAAAGGAACATGATTTGTGCTACTTAAGTCTGTAACATGCTGCCATCATACAAGTATATTAATTGCAGTGTCACTAAAATTTTCTTCAGCAATACCACTTTTACTTAATTCGAACTCAAAACATAATATTTAATTGCACTTTATGTGCCAAGCACAAAATTCAAACTGTACCGTCAAATTATCCTCTCAACAATATCTGAGATAGTCCTTATTATTATACTCAGCTTACAGTAAGTAAACATCAGATAGGTTAATAATTTGTTCAAAGTTCCTGAGCTAATAGTGTTTGAACTAGACTTGGGCAAGAACAATGTCTTGTTTGAAAGCTGGGGTTATAGATCCCAAGCTCAGTAATCTGTGGAACTTGAGAAGTCATTACTGATTTCTCTGACTTAGTTGTTCTCATTATAAAGCAAACGGTAATATGTGCTCTGCAATAACTGTACACTATCTTGAAGATAAAAGAAACTATAAAAATAAAATACTTTTAAATCTTTATTAAGAATGTAAGTTTGGCCGGGCGAGTGGCTCATGCCGTAATCCTAGCACTTCCTGGAGGCTGAGGAGGAGGATTGCTGCAAGTCAGGAAGTTCGAACCCAGCCTGAGCAAGACGAGACTCCTCTCTAACTATAAAAAGATAAGACAATTATGGCCAACATATATATATAAAATTAGCTGGCATGGTGCGCATGGCCTGTAGTCCCAGCTACTTGGGAGCTGAGGCAAGAAGGATTGCTTGAGCCCAGGATTTGAGTATGCTTGTGAGCTAGGCTGATGCTGCCAGCATCACTCGTAGCCTGGGCAACAAAGCGAGAACGTCTGTCTCAGAAAAAAAAAGAATGTAATTTGGGAGCCGAGGCGGTTGATTGTTTGAACTTAGGAGTTGAGATCGCCTGGAGCAAGAGCAAGACCCTGTCTCACTAAAAAATAATAGAAAAAATTAGCTAGACAACTAAAATATATAGAAAAAATCCAGGCCGGCATGGTGGCGCATGCCTGTAGTCCACAGTACATTGGGAGGCTGAGCAGGAGATCGCTTGAGCCCAGGTTTGAGTTTGCTAGAGTGAGCTAGGCTGACTTCCCATGGCACTCACTTAGCCTGGCAACATTGTGAGATTACTGTCTCAACAAAAAAAAATAATTCAAGGTTGCATGCCAAGCAGTGTAAACTGTTCTGAAGGTCTCCTTCACCCTCTATAACTGTGTCTATCTATTCTCCGCCTCCCATGCACCTCCTCTACTCTCCTTCTGGCTCTGAAGAAAGTGGAAATGAAAGAGACTGCTATGTTTTCCTACTTAGACTCTTCCCTCATGGCCCCTTTCTTAATCCTTTACCAATGTTCCTCCAAAAGGTACTGGACTGTTGAAGCGCTACAAAGTTAACATCCACTACCCTAACCCAGCAATCCGCTCATTGGTTATACCCCAAACATAGTGATAACTATTCACAAAAAGATTTGTACTACGAATCGTTCATTAGCAGCCTTTATTAATAATTTTCCCTAAACTGGAACGATATCAATTGTTCATCAACAATGAAAGATAAACAAATTGTGTAGTATAGTTCAACAATTGATAGCTATTCTTAATGAAAGAGTGGATAATCTGATTCACACTAATTATGAGGTGAATCTAAAAAACATGTTCATAGAAGTTCGCATCCAATGGTAAATTCATAATCAATAAATAAAGTAAAAAAATAAAAATAAAAACATGTTCAGAAGAATGCCAGACCACAAAAAGTATACTCTGATTCTTCATACATGACGTCCAAAATACAGGCAAAATCTAAGCTATAAGTGATGAAATCAACATCTAGCTCCTAGAAGGGGTAGAAACCAAATGCAGCTATGAAAGAAGTTCAGATAATGAAAGTCTTATCCTATTGGACTTAGTTACAGAGAGTAGTAAATCATTTGTCAAAGTCAATCAAAATGAACACTTAATTTGTGCATTTCCCTGTATTAAACATTACGTTCAAACTATCACACACAACAAATATAAAAACCCCTACTCATAGTAGGTAGAGTGGTCATGTCCTAATAATCCCAGTGGCTTTTAGAAGCTGAGCAGAGATTGCTGAGCCAGAGATTTGAAACAGCCTGGCAACACAGAGACAAAATATATTTAAAAAATTATTTGAGGCTGGCGCAGGACTAATCCTAACACTCTGGAGCGAAATGGGAGTATCGACTCAAGTCAAGAGTTCAATGACAGCCTGAGAAGAGCAAGACCCCCTATCTCTACTAAATGAAGAAAAAATAATCTGCCAACATAAAGAAAAATATCGATATATGCATATAGTAAAATAACTGGGCAATAGGACATGCCTATAACCAGCTACCGGAAGCTGAGGCAAGAATTAGCTTGAGCCCAGAGATGAGTTGCTGTGAGATAGCTGACCCATGGACCTCATACCCAGCAACAGAGTGAGACTCTGTCTCAAAAAAAAAAAACGTAAATAAATTATTGACGCATGGTAACACCGTGCTTGTATTCCTAGTGAGAGTGAGGGGGAGAATTGCTTACCCAGAGTTCAAGCTGCATGAACTATCATACCCACTGAACCTCTAGCCTAGAGTGCATGAATGAGAACGACTGTCTCTAAATAAAAGAATAGAAATAAATCTCCTGTGGCCCCGCTCTCCTCTACCATGTTTCCCAAAGTGTGGGGATTCGGATGAATAATAAAATACTGGTCTTGGTCTACTTTGCAGGGTAAATATAAAAAACAAACACAAACAGTTCTAGTAAATAAATAAATAATCCAAATAAATGTCTTGCTTATTCTTATCTAGGCCAGGACTTTGAAACATTTAGTACATAATTCACTTATCCGTCACAAGAACCCTATGAGGTAGAATATTAGCCAGTGTTTACAATGAGGGAACTGAGGCACAGAAACCAATTTAGTAACTGACTGCACACTAGAGTTATGAGCAGTATGAGCCCGGGAAATCTACGCCTAAAGCAACACTCTTCCCCAGCCATCTAGCGTCAATAAAAAACGAATTTGTATTTTGGCTAT